AGCTCAAGGGGAGCTTAACTGTGCAGGAGCCACTAATGGAGGCCAAGACCTAATGAGATCATAGAGCAGCCTGAGGAGGCAGCAGAAAGGCACCACATGGTATAAAAGTGGATCAAGACTCAGTGGTGCCCAGTTGAGCAGGAAATTCTATTTAAATGTAAAACCGTTTAAACTAAGCGTGGTCAAATCCTGGTTCAGGTTGCTCAGGAAGGTGGTGAAGTCTCCATCCTCGGATATACTCAAAACCTCACTGTATGTTGTCCTCTGACACCTGCTGTAGGTGACTGTTTTAAAAAGGGGCTCGCACTACACGGTCTCAAGAGGTCCCATCCAACCTTAACTACTCTGATTCTATCTGCTATTTAACCTGCTTATTGCATGTGTGACCACCTGTAGCTTTAAACTTTTGTTAATGCAAAAAGTCCAAAGCAAACCTATTCACATTCTGCCTTCTGAAATATCTTGACAGTTTCATTTGAAAGTTTCCTTCTTATAGTGTTGAAGGGTAAGAGTGCCCTCATAAACTGAATGAGCATAAACCATATGAGCAAAACATGAAAATTAAATCTCTTTATTTGGACAATGTTCAGCTGAACAAACATCATAAATATAAAAACGTGACCAATTGTTTCTGGCTTAAGTTCCTCACCAGCTTGTTCTGGAATGGTTGAAGGTTCTACAGATCTTGGAAACTTGTTGAAACTCCACACTTTTGTAGGAGCCCACGTCCAATGCTTGGTATCGAACCCAACTTAAACAAGTAGAACTGCATTAATACAGCCATCGTTTTCCGGATTGTTTGTTACTTGTGCATATTTCCCTAAGGAGAAAAGAGAATTAAATGTCTACAAAAGCTCGAAGTAGATCACATAGGTTAGATTTTTCTGTTTGCAAGTTCAATCTACAAGTCTCTAAAAAGTAGGGACTCAAATGCATTTTGAAATCTAGATCTACCTTTTACTGGGCTATAAACTTATGTTCTCAAAGTATTATATTCAGGTTGTTTTTTATAAACAGATTATTTAAGAGTTCTGAGTAGAATAAAAAAAATACTTAGGTTTGCTACTGTCCAAGTGAAACCCTCTATTAAAAGAAATCAATCTTATGAAGATCACAGAATATGCTGACTTGGAACAGACCCATCAGAATCGAGTCCAACTCCTGGCCCTGCACAGGACAGACTCAAGAATCACACCATGTGTCTGAGAGCATTGTCCAAACACTTCTTGAACTCAGACAAGCTTGGTGCTGTGATCACTTCCTCAGGTAGCCTGTTCCAATGCCCAGTGACCCTCTGGGTGAAAAACCTTTTCCTGATATCCAACTTAACCTCTCCTGACTCAGCTTCATGTCGTTCCCTCGGGTCCTGTCAGTGGTCACCACAGAGAAGAGATCAGTGCCTGCCCCTCCTCTTGCCCTCATGAGGAAGTTGTAGACTGTGATGAGTCTCCCCTCAGTCTCCTCCAGGCCGAACAAAGTAACCTCAGCTGCTCCTCATACAGCTTCCCCTCAAGGCCCTTCACCATCTTCTCTGCCCTCCTTTGGACACTCTCTAAGAGTTCAGTATCTTTCTTATATTGTGGTGCCCAGAACTGCACACAATATTCAAGGTGAGGCCGCCCCAGTGCAGAGCAGAGCAGGACAATCCCCTCCCTCGACTGGCTGGTGATGCTTTCCCTGATGCCACCCAGGACACGGTTTGCCCTCCTGGCTGCCAGGGCACTGCTGACTCATATTCAACTTGACATCAGTCAGGACCTCCAGATTGTTTTCCACAATGCTGCTCTCCAGCCTCTCATTCCCCAGTCTGTACTCAAAACCAGGGTTGCCCCATCCCAGGTGCAGAATCTGGCTATGATACTCCTATACAACTTCCACTGAAAACATAATATGATTGTTCACACAGTTAGTCTTTACAGGCTTGTGATATTGCTTAATGTGACACATAGGCATGCAAGCTGAATCTTTGTTCTGAACTTCATCTAAGTGAATGGAAAGCCTAAGATTAACACTTGAAGTTTGTATTTTTATAGCTGGTAGTAGTTGCTTCTGCTACAGCACAAACCTAATATTTAACAATGACTATAGGACAAGGTCTTAACAATACATGATGCAATGAAGACAAATCTTTTAAAAGTAATTCTGCAGTATAACTAGGTAAACTTACTTACCCCAGATAACTTTGCCCCCTTGTGTCACGAGGCCAAGCTCACTCACATTAACCTCAATGACGGTACCCTTGGTAATTACACCAAGTGTCGTATACAAAGGAGAAGATGGATTCTTTTTTACACCAAGGATAGGTAGGCAAAAAGTGGCTTTAAGTTCGGGATGTGTCACATGTGCCTTCTTGAAACGTAAGCCCTGTTGCATAAGAAGTGTTAGAATGAGTTAATACTTGCTTTAAGCTCTCATGTTTGATCTAGTAAACACTTTCAGCATTATGTCCTCAGCTTTATATGTTCTGAGAGACTGGATGAGAATACAGAATGCTATCTACCTACTACAGAATGTCAGACTTATTTAAAAACCTGATTAATGACGAGATAAAGCATATTTTCAAGATATAATTTTTAATAATAGCACAAGAACAATACTTGTTACCTTGGATGGCTACTGTTCCATAAAGAAAGTATTGTAAAATATTAAATACTCATCTCTATAGCAGTTTTTATCTAGTGACTTGCTCTTTGTAAAGGGTACTTTACCATTAAGTACCATAAATCATTCCGTGTCAATAAAAATCTACCCAAGGCTTCTGTGTAATACCATCAGACTAGTAATGAAATACAATTCAACAGGCAGCCTGCACAGTGATTATTGACTCCTGTGAGGGAACAAGAGCAGGTATTCATCTGAAAACTTCACTATATCACTGAGTCCAGCTTTTCCTCCTGCGTGCTGCCAGGCTGATAGAGCCCAGGCACTGTTCCTGCAGCTGTGTAAGTAAAGGTCAGGCTGGAGGTACAGCACTTCCCTCGCATACAGTCATGACTGCGCTTCAAGCTTACTTTAGCCAGGAGGGAGTCCTGGACTCTTCTAAGACAGTTGGCTGCTACAGCCGAGAGATCGTAGCAGCTTGAAAAAGAAGCCTCCAACATTAAAAGCTATTCAAAGTATCTCTGATAAAGATTTGAAATCCCATAGTTTTAACTTCCTGACATCATCTGAATAAAAGCAGATATTTTGACACAGACTGTGACTGCAGGGGCACCTCCCCACCCTCATGCAATCAGAACTTTAGATTTATGCAAGCAAAGCAATAGGAATGTTCTACGTAAGCAGTAATTCAATGCATTATCGTACAAGAAAGTTCCCTCACCACAGAAACTCACAAAGTAGTAAGTCTCAAGAATTATTATTTAAATGATCTTTAAGGCTCAAAAATATTACCATAGGTCGAATGAATCGCTCATATTTAGGAGGCTTCCGAGTAAAGCCATCTCCAACAAAACAAACTTTTGTAACCATTCTCTTCCAGGCCTTCTTCTTTCTCTTTCCTGTACGAATCACTTTCAAAACTTCTGTTTCCCCTTGTGCACGGACCTTTGGCACAGGAACCTCCCATTTCCCCTGGAAGAGGGGGAAACAAAAAGGTCAGTACTCTTACATGTCACATTGCTGAGTGAAAGAGGATAGCCAAAGCATAAAATAAAATTTCCCTAAATCATAGTGGTAGACCATACTTGTCATACAACTCATAGCTACTTAATTAGCATTTAAAGTTTTGAAAATCAAGATATTGCATATGCTCACATTGTCCTAAACTGCTCAATTACTAAAGGTTTCAGGCTTTAATTAGTCTTTGCTTGTAGGCTGTTAAGAAAACTGAGAATCAGCAACACAAAGTGGTTGTTGTCACAAGTAACTGTAGGTATCTGAACTCTGATACAGTTACTTACAGCTTTTTCTTTTCTTTTCTGTTTGATCATGTTAGAGAGAACCTTAGCCCGGGACTGGCCCTCTCTGTCCAGCAGGTATGCTGGTACAGCTCCCTTGGGTGTTTTTTCATCACTCTTTTGCTTTGTATTTCTCTTCTCATGCATTTTAATGCTGCAAAGAAAGAAAACCAGTATTAGAAGCAGGAAAAAAAGGTTTATTTTTAAATATACCCTTTCAACTTAGCTTGTGCCTGCTCAAACTTTTCTTTTAAGAGATATTTGTAAAAAATTGCATATTTATATATAAGAAATAATCCTAAATAATTTTCAAGGTAAACAAGTATTTCACTTAATCCAACAACTGACAGACTGCATAGTGCATAAAACCTTGCCACCTCCTGCCAAGATGGGAATACAAAACATGCATCTCTTTTAAGGAATGTCTGAATGACTTAAAGCAAAGAACCAAATACATTGAGAGATGTACTTCCTCTCTGACAAAAAATAACATGCCACTCCTCTTCTGAGATTTGATGGCAATGCTTACAAATGTCAGGAATGTGTGTTTGTAAAAGTGGGGGGAAAAAAGACCACAAACTAATAGACCCATTATCTTTACAAGTAGCAAAGAAAAACAACTGTCTACACTTTGAAAACAACAAAACCAACCTGGTGGACAGGTATTAAAGTTCATTAGCAATGAAGCATACTATTTACAATTTTGATTTCAATTTCTGGACAACAGATAAAATTTCCAGAAAAATGCTTGTGTTTGTCTACGCTTGATGCTGTAATTTATCCTTGAAGACAGGCCTCATGCTCTACTCAAACTGTGTACGTTACTGTATTTTTTTCTCCTAACCATTAAAAAAACCCTGTTGCCTCTTGCCATATTAACTCAGTGGTTGATGTGAAAGTCTTAAGTAAATGGATTCACTTTTTTGTCGTAATTACATTAGTCGCTGTCATTGCTAAGCAACACTTCTCTTGAGGAAAGCCTCTAGCGGCGGAATTGTTAACATTCATTGAGAAGAGACAAAATACGAAACGTATTCGTCGTGGCAAAGCCCCTTTCCTCCTGCAGCCTGAGTGCTATTTAAGTGTACAACGCGAGACTCAAGTAACGATTAGCTCTTTATAACGTCCTGTCTCATCCCTGAAGCGTCAGGACTAAAGGACGGCTCCAGAGAGGAGGCGGACACTCACGTCTTCTTCATCTGTATCTTCTCGGCGTGCCGCTGCTTGTGGTAGAGCTTGGCCTTCAGCCCGATCATCTTCTTGGCCTTGCGGGACCGCTCGTGCGCCTCCCGGCCCTCCTTCTTCCTGCGCCTCTCGTGGTAGTCCAGCCGGTACCCATAGCGCTTGCGGTGCAGCTCGATGTGCTCGTTCTGCGGCTGTGGGCACAGAGGCAGCGCGGTAAGAGGGGACCGGGGCCGGCGGGGCGGGGAGGGCACCTCTGCCACGCGCCGGGAGGCCGCGGCCCGACGGCGGTTCTCTCACTGCGGGGCCCAGCCAGCCACCCGCACCCTCCCCGGCCCGCCCGCATCCCGCCGTCCCCGTCCAGCATCCCGTCCAGCATCCTGGGTCCCGCATCCCATGCCCCGGCTCCCAGTTCCCAGTTCCCGGCTCCCGGCCCCTACCATGTCGGCAGCCCCGCGGACTCCTCAACGGCGAAAAGGGAGGGCCGCTCGCGAACAGGCCCCGACTGGAAACTCTCCCCAGAGCGCTTTGGTTCCTCCAGGCGGAGAGACAGGCTGTTCGCCCTCCCCGAGGGCTTTGCGCCGGGCTCGGCGGGGCCGAGAGAGGGAGAAAAAAGGAGCAGGAGAGGCCGAAGGAGCGCTTTTTGCCGCCTGGTCTGTCAGGTCGTGGCGAGAGGGGGGAACGCTGGAGGCGGTGAGGTAGCGGGGGAAGGTAGAGGGAGGGCGCCTTCCGACGGCATGGCGGCGGGGCAGGTGGGGGCAGAGGCCAAGACGGGGGTCGAGTGCGTCGCGCACCCCTGGGCTGGGCCGTGCTGAGGCTGCGGCGGGGGCAGGAGGTGATCGGGGACGGCGCAGAACCGCCCCAGAGGTTCGTAGGGCGGCGGGCAGGGCGGTGTCGTTTTGTGGAGCGTCAGCGGGGCTCGGCCGCGGGGTTCCTCTCGCGGGCTCGTCACGGGCAGTGTGAGGACACAGCGCCCGTCCCGCACTCCCGGACAGCGAAGCGCGGCGGCACCTTCGGGAGACGAGGGTGCGGCTCGTAACATGAGGGTGTGCAGATGAACCTCTGCGCAGAGCTTCTTACCCCTCGTTGTGAAACTACCACGGAGCATCAAATCACTGGAGCTGAACACTGGCATCTCCTTAAATAAGTAGCAGCCAGCTTGGGCTGCTTTGGAAGCTGCTGCACTTGTGCTTTCTGTTGCAGGGTTTTTGGCGATGCTTAAAAGGTCGTAATACTTAATATTTTCTGTTGTTTCTGCCCTAAATAGATATTTTGCCCTGCAACCTGTTCTCTTTCAAGACCAGAAAATCTATTTGCACTTCGCTGATCTGTAATCGGTGCTCTAGAGCTTCTCTGAGAGTTAGTGTAAGCTCTGATGTTCATTATTTTGCTTTACTGTTTAAAAATTTCTCTGAGGAATATACTTAGTGTTTATGGGCATGTATTTGTGCTGCATTGTTAAGGCTTAATAACATTATTTTTACAGATATGATACTGATTTAACTTGCAAAGCGTTAACCTGATTTGACTGGAACAAGAGTAAAATCTTGTGATTGAGTTATGTCAAAGCGATACAACCAACCTGTTTCTCGTCATAAATGTTTTGTGTGGTTTACTTACCTTGTCAGGGAACAGCATCAAAGAGTGGAGCCAGAATGTGGAAAGTTATGAGGAGAGTTTCAGTGGATTTATTGGAGTCATCAAGTTTATGCAATAAGGTAAAGTTTCCCCAAATTTTGGTACTTTCTCTGTGAGCAAAGGAAATACTTGGGTTATTCTGAGTAAACTTTTTTGATTGTGGTGGTGGTGGTTTTTTCTTTTTTCTTTTCCTTTAAAAGTTGGCTTCCAAACAGAACAGGTACTTTCATATTGGAATGGGAAGATGAATTTATAATTTTTATGTAATTTTTTTGACTACTTAACATTTATAATTGTTAAATTTGTATTATTTACAAAAATAATTAGACATATTTAAAACAATGTGGCTATTGGCAACATACTTTGATAGATATCAATAGATTTTTACTAGACATCCCAAATATTACTGGGATCGAACTTGGTGTAAACCTCAGTGTGGGCATCATCTTCAAGCATCTACTTCCAAATAGCTTGTATTTTCAGCTTATATGAATATATAACAACGGTATCTGTTCATATAGATATATTTTTTTAGTTTATTTTTGTATAACTGGCAAAAATGTAACTAAATAATTAGTTATAATGATAAATATTCTATATAATTCTTTTTTCTTTCAAGCAGGTGTATTTCAGGAAGACAAAAATGAGAGTTGTAAGTGTGACACAGCAAAACTGCAGTCTGAGAAACTACAGTGCTCCACCAGGTATAAGTTAATTATCTAATCATCAGTCCAGATGAACCTCAGCATTACAGTTGTCTTGAACTGAGACATGCGTCTGCAGAGTAAGATGTTACTGTGCTGATGATACTTTTCTGTGTTGGCTTTTTCCTCTTGTTTCTAAAGATTCTCTCTTTTTTTTGTTTTTGAGAGAGAGATTTATTGAAAACTAAGTACGTATCTTTAGAAATTTGAGATGGTAGTGATTACAGATTGTCACGAGTTGTGCCTCTGAATCTTTTTTTTTAGTAAGGTTTTTATAAGTTTTCTTAAATATATTTTCTACGTTGGGTTCAGTCTTAAAAATTGTTTAATTTTGTTTGTCTCCAGGAGATGTTAAGTCTCTGCGTTCTGTCATTAATCCTGATATATCCAGGTACGTCATGCTGGCTTATTGTTTGGATGTAACTGGTAGTCAGGGCAATTGATGTGATGAAGAGTTATAAGTTGTTGCTGTACCTGTCACATGTGCATGTTTAATTTAAATTTAGTACTTGTTTAATTTTACCCTTGTGACATTTCAATATAGAACACTTGTTGGTGTCAGAAAGGTCTGGAATTGTCTCTTGTTTACATCATCATAGCCAAAACTGGGCTTGTAGGGAAGCTCCAAATCCATGGTGTTGTTGGGAGTTGAAAAAGGGAGAAGGGGTGTGTTGGCAACTAGACCTCTGCTGTTGTGTGCTTTGTGTTAATGGGAGCACTCAGCCACATTAGACGAGGACAAGGTAACTGGGGACTGAGCTGCCAAAGAAATATCCTAGGGGTGAAGTTCCCTTAGAAGGCTACTTTTGTCCTGAGGGTGAGGTCAGCTGGCATTAATGGTGAATGTTAATGGTGCTGCACAGAAAAAGTGAAGCAGTTCTGGAAGCTGCTGATGAGGTACTTTAGAAAGGAAGAGTTGAACAGAATCAAAGACAGCATCACGGGAACAATGGATGCTGTATTTGGAGCATAAAGGAAATATATGCAATGGATTGTTTGGGGCATCAGGTGTCAGGGACTGGGATGGATGAGAGGGTGCTTCTGTCTGTGGAGAGGGCAGATGGGTGAGGATGAGCCCAAGAAGAGGCATTCCCTAAAGTGGAGCATGGAAACCTGTTGCAAAACTGTTCAATACACTGTTTCAATACTAGCGTCTTTCAGTATCGGAATGTACACTGTGTCCCATATGCAGTAGAGGAAAGATGTTATTAATCCGAGATGTTATTCTCAGTAAGTATTAATTGTTTATGCAAATAAGAATATCACAGAATAAAAAAATTATTGCACTAAACCTGATGTTTTCACTTTATGCAGAATCCGAAACATTGGCATTATGGCCCACATTGATGCAGGCAAAACTACGACAACAGAGAGAATGCTGTATTATTCTGGATACATAAGAACACTTGGAGGTTAGAAATGCTTTTTGTATTTCAGTAGCTTTGAGAGATTTAATAATGTACAGTAACATGCAATGCAGTTAGAGGTTGCTGGTGGAATACCTGATGTAGAAGCCAGTTGTTCCGAAGTTGTGCTGTGGTTTAATGGAATTTTAAATGCACATTCCATTATGTTCTAAGGCAGTTGCACTTTGAGAGATCATAGGTTCATATTTTTCTTTTAGTGCATTATGTTTTGTTTAACATTTAATTAGAGGATCTCCTTAGTTTAGTTGTTGTTCATTGGCCCTTCTGGTAAAGCTGTTTCTTCAGTTTTCTTTTGACCTTTAAAGAAACTAGATTGAGAAAAAGTATCCATTTCTTTTGAAAGCCATAGCTCTGAAAAAATTTCTTGCTACAAGAACTTTTGCAGAATTTTTCAAGATTGAAAGGGTCACAGCAGCCTCTGTGATTTTTGACCTTTTAAATTTCATTCCCCGTTCTTGACTATGTATGACAGTGATAGAAAATGTTAAGCTTGTGGAACGTTTGAACTTGGTGTCTTGCTTGTTTAAAAATGTGGAACTACTTCTCTTTTTATTAAAAATTAAAAACAAAATCCATAAGCAAAACCCAACCTCTTAGTTGGTGTTTTCTGTTTGTTTGTTTTTACTTTGACTTTAACTTAATTATCTTCTGATTACCAAATTTTTAAATGTCAGTCGTGTTCTGCACAGTCAGTGCAGCCAGGTTTTTTAAAGCTGTAGTTTGTTCATGATTTTTGACTTTGCTTTAGTTTTTAAGATTCTCATGGTGTTACTAGGATTAAGAACAATAAAAAGGTTGTTGGAATTGCTAGTCTTTGACTTGCAGACCATTTGTTCCTTGGAAGGGGAGCTTGGGTAAATTACCTGACCTTATACTGTTTTGAAAAAGGCTAATTTTCATAGCTTATACATATATATAAAAGGGACAGTATTTCCAACTCTCTCTTGACAACTGTATTCAAGGACAGTTTCAGACTTTGAATTGTTTACCTACCCAATTCTGGTTCCTGTTTACAGACGTTGATGATGGAGACACGGTGACAGATTTTATGGTACAAGAGCGAGAACGTGGTATTACCATTCAGTCTGCTGCAGTTACGTTTGACTGGAAGGACTACAGAATCAATCTGATTGACACCCCAGGTACTGCTGTTATTACTAAGGGAGAGTGGGTGAAGTGGAGTGTTGTAGAATGTCTTAGTTTTAAATACGGTGCAAAATTTAGTTAGTTTAATTGCATCAGTAAAAAAGCCTATACCGAACTCTGTTCAGCTTTGGATAATTATTGTTTGCTGATGCCTAATCTAGCTTGTGTAAGGTGAGCTCAGATATTTCCACACTAAATTTTACTCAGTTCTAGGATCGCATTGTAACAATCTTGTGTATTTCAAAGACTGATGGGTGTAGTTCCCTGCGAGTAAAGAAAGAGTTGTTTTGACATGACTTAAAAAAAAATAGTTTAAATTTGTAATAACCTGTTGATGTTGCCTGTTTGAATTATGATGGTATAAAATGAAGATTTTTTTTAGGTCATGTGGACTTCACAGTGGAAGTTGAGCGTTGCTTAAGAGTCCTGGATGGAGCAGTAGCAGTGTTTGATGCTTCAGCTGGTGTTGAGGTAAAAACAACGGGTAGATTTTTCTTTTGTATGTGCATCTGTCACATGAAAGGGGAGAGATTTTCTCAAACCCTCTTTGTTTGGTTAGTGTCTCAGTGCCCCAGGAAAGTAAAGACCCTTGTCCCTGACCAGTTTCAGTGTCCCATTACTGAACAGTCCACTCGATCAGAGGGTGGATCAGCTAACTGGTTCAGGGTCACATGCGAGTGGAAAGACCCCCTCCTTGGGGGGGGGTCCTTAATTGGTCTGTCAATGCCTCAGAAAAGATTCAGGGATACAAACCAGCAGCATCCTGGGCCTCCACAGGCCAGTATGTTACCTGCTGGCAGCAGCTGTTAGCACCCTTGAAAGACTCAAACTTAACAGTTTATGGAATAACACTCTTTATTAATATAACAGAAAACTGTGATGGGTTAAGGTTCGAAGATTGCCAGTGATAGTATCTGGCTGCAAAAATGTATTCAAAGCTACGTACTAACAAGCTTAGTCCCTAACAAAAGCTGGCTCCATTCAGTGCACGTTAGAGTATGGTTCTTACCCAATAGGCATCTCTATGGGGGGAAGACAGGTTCAGCCCATGGACTGATCCTAGAAGTTACAATGGAGTCTTCCCTAACTTCTCCCCATTTTTAATTCAGTTTATTACTATTTTTATGTTTAAGTAGAGGTTGAGTGATTCTAGTCATACCTCATGTACAGTGGGGGGTGGTTGTACTTGGGGAGGTCAATATTACATCTGAGGTACCTTTTAGGATGGAGGCATATATGTGTGATCTTGTCACGTTTGCTTGTTCAACAGTAAGAAATCTTTCTTCCCCCACCACTAAGTTCTCCTCGTGCGAGGATTTCAACAGAGCCTGGCCTCAGTGTCTCTGCTCAGTTCCACCCTCTGTTTGGTTCCCCTTAGCATGTACTGTGTGTGGGAAGTCAGGTGTGCTGACCACATCCCATCCAGGGAGTGGCAACTGCATGTCCCCCTATGATTTCCACACTGTTACAACTTCTGTTAAGAGTGTGAATATAACTTCCCAGTTTTCTCTAATTTTACCCCCAGCCACTCCCATTCATTTTCCTGCAGCGTCTGTTAACTTAAATCAGACTGAAGTACTGTACAGAGATGTTGCACTCTATTATATCTCTTGATGCTTTGTCAGCTTCAAGAAGCTGAGCACTTAATTTTAAGTTCTGTAGTGCACATTTCTATGGTAACAAGCAGCAAATAAGTGGGATTACCATTAAATATTGGAGTGGTTTTGTTGGTTCGTGGCTGTCTTTTACAAACATTGATTGATGTGAATGCTTCTGGCTAGCTACACAAGTGGAAAGAAATGAATGTCTGTCAATTTCTCATTTTCAGATTTCACGTAGAAAATTGGAATTTTCAGCCAGAATTTCTCCTTGCCCAATGGCCTTTTTAACATGGCCTTTGGGTTGTAGTGCAGAAAAAGTGGTGGCAGAGTAGAATTAGACTTTATATGGCATGAAGTGTTTCAGTAGTCCAATTCTGTAGAAAAGTTATATGCAAAATCATTGTCTTTCATGGAACATACCTTTTTCCCAGATAAGGGATGAGAGAACTCTTGATCACTGTAAGTCACATTATTTAACTTGCTGTTGGAAAACATTTAGGCGCCATCAAATGTGAACCTGAACTGAGACACAGCCCCAACCCCAAGAGCAAAACAATTAGATTTGCTTGTGTTTTTTTTGACAACTTTGTAGCAAATTCTTGCATTATTCTATGTATTGGAATGGACTATTTCGGAATCTTAAGTGATTGTTATATATACTTGTTTTAACTTTCAAATAAATATATGTATGATAAATGGCTCAGCAGTGCACAAATTACTAGCAAAACTACAGTAGTTTTAGTGTTGTATGTGTAGCCACAGAAATGCTTGCCTGTGTGTGCTTGAAGTACTTTGGCAATAAATTCTAAAGGTTTATTCATTGTACAAGTTTCGAGCTGGCTTCCCGCCAAGTCCCCGAAACTTGACAACAAGGACCTGCTTCCCAGAGAGGGAAGAAAAAAACGATTTAAGCAGCCAAAGCTATAGCAAAATATATATATATTTTACATATGAGATAGATATATACAATGAAAATATTATACACCACAACTCCAGAAATCCTAAATAGCTCCCCAAAAGGGAAGAGGGGGAGGGAGAAGGGAAAAGGACAAAACAGGACAAAAAAAAGGGCAAAGACCAAACAAGTCTACACAATCCAAAAACCCAGTAACCAGCCAACTAAAGAACTAGCAAAATCTCACCACTTCCCTTTGGACAAGCAGGATGGCCAGACACAGCCCAGCACTCTCCCCTCACGCGTGGCAGATAACAGCAGTTGCTGTAGGCCTCAGCTCCAGATAAGTCAGACCGAGACAGGGACCCACCGTTCTCGAACCTCGCGGAAAGGAAGAGCGAGGTCCCTTCTGCTGGCTTTATTTATACCTCAAGTTATGTAAAGGAATAGCATGGAATACTTCCGTGATCACCTTCCTAGTTCCTTCCTGGTTACGAGCTGGTCTCCAGGAAGGCCTAGAGTGAAACCATCACATTCATGTATGTCCTCTATAATACTTAGTTTCTCTCCATGTCTTCTCTTGCTCGTGTTCCTGCATGTTCTTAGTGAAGGAAGGGAAGTGACAAGAGCTGAGAGACAAAACTGCTTGTGAAATTCATCTGTGCTGCTACATATGGAATCGTTGGAACACACTCGGCACAGTTCCCTTCTGTACTCTGAACTCAGAACCTCAGTGGTATTGGGGAGTACACAGTTCAGCTACTGGCACTAATGTTTCCATTTTGTCTTTTGCTTTAGGCACAAACTCTGACAGTCTGGAGACAAGCAGACAAACATCAGATACCACGAATTTGCTTTTTAAATAAGATGGACAAAAGCAGGGCAAGGTATTTAGACAGATATTTTAATCATTGCTAAAAACCTTGTAAGAGAATGTCTCTAATAAAGTTTTCCTGTTAAGCATAGAGCAACCCAATTATGTTAGTACTTACTATATGCTATGCAAATGCATATGCAAATACATCTTTTTATGTAATTGTTGGAGTAATTTATGCAGTAAATAAGGAGTGGTAGATGTATTTTACTAATGTAATTAAGTTTGTGTAACTTAGTATCTGGGTTTTTTATATAGTTTTACGTATGCCGTTGAGAGCATCAAACAAAAGTTGAAGACAAAACCTTTGCTATTACAGGTAAGCTTTCTTTCAAATGGAACTCCTTTCATAATTTTTTGCAGCTATCTAAAGTTTCTGCTGTTTTTGCAGTTGCCCATTGGGGAAGCCAAGACCTTCAGAGGACTGGTTGATATCGTGACTAAGGAAAAAATAATTTGGAAACCTACTTCTGATTTGGATGATGGAAAAAATTTTGAACGAAAGCTGCTGCTGGAGGCTGATGATCCAAACCTGTTCCAAGAAGTCCAGGATGCCAGAAATACCTTAATAGAACAAGTAAAGTTCTAAAGTAAATGCATAATGTATTTAAAACTGTTACTTAGAACAGTAGGAAAAATAGGCTCTGTAGCTTAAGTGACTCTGGCTAAGAGAACTGCTCAAAGCAGGGCTGACTTCAGCATTAGATGGGATTGTTCAGGCCTTGTTCAGTTGAGTTTTCAAGTATAAGGATGGTGATTACAGTCTCTCTAGGCAGTTGAGTTTTCAAGTATAAGGATGGTGATTACAGTCTCTCTAGGCAGCCTGCCCCAGTGCTTGACCATCACTATTTCTTTTTATCCAGTGGGAATTTACCATGTATGACCTGTGGCAGCCATGCTGGTCTTCTGTTGTGTACCTCTGAGAAGAATCTAGCTCTGTTTTCCCTGAAGTGGGCCCACCACCACCATTTGAAGTGTTAAGAGACAGCATTTGCCTCTCCAAGTTAGACCAAATACATCTCTCTGCTTCAGCCCTGTTAGTGGTTTGCCACTGAACTTCCTACAGTTTTGTCGGTTTCTTTTTGTGCTGGGGAAGCTAAAAACAGAACTATAGATGCAGCTTCACAAGTGCAGGGTAGACGGTACTAACTGCTTGCCCTGATCCACTGGCTATGCTCTTGTGGATGTAGCCCAGTATGCAGTTAGCCTTTGATGCTGGAAGGTGACACTACTGACTCATAGGGTCCAGCAGGACCCTCTGGGTGACTTCTGCAGAGCTGTGTCCTAACTGGTTGATCCCCACTTTGTATCAGTGCTTGGATTTGTTCTGTTTTAGGGGCAAGATTCTGCATTTGTCTTTGCTGAACTGCAGATTTTTTTCACTTCCATCTGTCAAAGTTGCTTAACGCACATTGGAAATGTTAATATGTGATGGCAAAACATGCTGAGTATAGAGAGTTGGAGTCCCTGGCTGTACAAAATGGAAGACTCCCTGCTTTATAGATAGGGAACTGAAGAAAGCAGACACTAAATTTGTCATGCAGTTGGCTAATATGGTATCTTGTAGTCTTAGATGCTAAAGGATATTTGGTACATTCACGCAAGGCCTGACCTACATACCTGAAGGGTGTCCATACTCTTCTGGAGTGGCAGCTAGAAGGTGGATAGGTTTTTGCAGGCTGGTCAAAATGGCAGTAAATACTGTGTTAGAGGCAGCTCAATCCAATCATAAATTGATCTGTTTTGTTGGAAATGCTGCCTTTCATAAAGCTTTGAATAACATTGTGCAAGTGCATAAACAGGTGATGGTAGGCTTTCAGTTTCCTTTGAAACATCAGAATCAGGGAGATCTGTTTTATATTGCTCTGAGTTCAGTAGAATTCATACACAATCTGGTTTTCAAACTTACCAGGATTTAAATGGGGGTATTATTACTCAGCCTTTTATCTTAAGAAATGTATTGTCAGATAAAAAGCTTTATACGAACACTGATGGTTTTTTCCTCCCTTTGTTTTCTGGGCCTTTCCTGAAGGAGGAAGGGGTGGACCAGTAGTGGGATAATTGAGATAACCTTGTGTTCATAAAATCTTTTTTGAAATGCTTTCTATCCTGTTAACACTCGTTATCAGAAACACTGTCAAATTTAGTATTTTGAATACCAGCCATTTTGCACACTTTACTTTCACTTAATTAAATAAACTGGTTCCTGTAATGTTTTAACTATTAGCCCAATTAGACTTCTAATTGCTTATCAAGGGTTTCTTATCAAGGGTTTATTTCAGAATTTGGTCAATTGGTTCATAGCCGTTAGAGGGGGCAAGTGCCTTCCTGCAAATGGAGCAGGAGCCTGTGACAGTGCAAGGATGTATGTGAGACAAGGTTTACAGAGTAGTTGAGTTACAGGTCAAGCAAAGCGGTACAGTTTGAAAACACAGATATACTCTTGGACATACAAGCCTTTGACATGAAGAAGGTCAAAATGTCCTGATGCTTCTCTGTTTTTTCCAGCTGAGTGTCTGTTGGCTTGCAAAGGTTACTTCTGCTTACTTCAGACCTTGCCATATTTGCAGGTTTGAAGTACAGTCATTTATACCCCCCATGGCTGTCACTGTATGGCTGGATGTTTTTTCCATTTCAAGGAGGAATACAAGCTTTCTCTCTCCCACTGATGTTTTGTCTGACAGCAGCTTTATAAGTGTATTTTAATGTTTTTTCCCACATCCTTTCTTGAAGCCTTAATTTACATATTTTTCTGTGGTTTGAGTTTTTGATCTCTGATGTCTTTAAAGGCTTTGTTTTTGCTCTCCTTAGCTATCTATCCTACGTAAGATTTGCGTCTTGTCTGTAAAACTGCTGTATGCCAAATAATAAAGAACTATTCTCTTTAAGGTTGCAGATCTGGATGATGAATTTGCTGAACTGGTTCTAGGAGAACACAGTGAAAATTTTGACTTAATATCAGCTGAGAAGGTAATTTTTACATTTCATTTTTCATAAACAGGTGTTTGCTAGCTGTTATTCCAAGGGGCTGGGTTGGCACATGGAGATTATTCCTTTGGCATGTGCAGATAATGATTTTGCAGATTTATCAACAGAAAGAAATCATACCAGCTTTTGCAGTGAATTAACAGTATTGTGAATTTAGAGCAGAATGTGTTTGTGTTTAGTATGAATTTTATACAAATGCCCTATGATTCTTGGGCATGCTAGGCACAATTTTAAAAGAGGGGTACGTTTGTTCAGGAAAGTGGGTTTGTTTTTTGTTTTGAAAGTTAGACTGCTGCAAAAGAGCTTAGGGGAAGGTGAGTGGAACTTCCAGGTAGACTCAGTGCACTTTGTGACTGAGCTGCTGTTTCTTATTAACAAAAGTAGCATTTCAACCATTTTGAATTGGTTGGATATTCACGCACTGCATGTTGAAAGTGTTGAGGTACAAAATTCTGAATTAAAGGTACTGTTAGTAAAAGAACAGCTGCAGATGTGTATGAAATGTTTAGAAATCTTAAAACCAGTGTCTCCTGTTTTAGCATCTAAACATTTGGGTTTATGGTTTGGAGCTCATTAAAAGCAGCGAAATGAGTTTGGATGACTGATGTATTTACAAACATATATTTTTTAAACTTATTGGGGATTAATTAGCAATATCTGATAGCTGGAGTGCAATGTAAGGCTAAATTGTAGTTCATTTGTTAACAGAAAATAGTTTCTTTTTTGCAGTTACAGTCTGCTATCCGGAGAGTCACTCTTGCTCACAAAGCTGTCCCTGTACTCTGTGGCAGTGCACTGAAGAACAAAGGAGTGCAGCCACTACTGGATGCCATTACTATGTACTTGCCTGCACCTAATGAACGTTCATATGAGTTTCTGTAAGTACAGGTAGAAAAGGAGGTTCAGGAAAAAGGAAAAATAAATAGGAAAGCATAAAAGGAGAAAATAAAAGATGTTAACAAAGCATTCATATTCTTTAAAAATGTTTACCCTTTTTAGGTATTAAATAACTTTAGGGATGTGTGGACAGAAAAATACACTTGAGTACTGAACCTACTTTGGTCAGCACTACAGGAATTGTATGCATTTATCTTCAATTGTCAAACTAGCACTTCAGAGTCTTTGTATTATCTGAGAATAATCTTGTTTTACAAAAATGTGGTCTAGGGATCCTATTTAGTGTTGACTGAATCACATGACATCTTACATGTCCTACTGGAGCTGGAACTGCTTAGATTATTTTTTTTTGGTATAAATTATGATTTTTAAAATCTGCCTCTATTAGTATTACAATAAGAAACACATCATTCCTTAAATGAGTGGAAGTTTAGGTAACTGTGAGATTGAGTGGCTTAATTCTACAAGTATGCATTTTGTTCTTTTTATTTTGCAGACAGTGGTACAAGGATGACCTGTGTGCCCTAGCATTTAAAGTTCTCCATGATAAATGTCGTGGACCACTGGTTTTTGTTCGCGTTTACTCAGGTTCACTGAAACCTCAGTCAGCTGTATATAATATTAACAAAAGTTGCACGTAAGTAAGATAGAGGCCTGGTTTTAATGTAGAAATGGAATGTCTGTTGAAGTCCCAAGTAATACAAGAATTTAATTTTTAGAGAGAGAATGAGCCGGCTGCTCCTGCCTTTTGCTGATCAGCACATTGAAATACCATCACTGATGCCTGGCAACATTGCTCTTACTGTTGGGTTAAAACAGGTAATAAAAAATACTGACTCTGTAAGGGAGCCTGTTTGACTAATGTGCTTTCTACTTCTATGGTATTGTATCTCAGATGTGTTCTTGATAATATTGTCAATATGTAAACTTGCTTTATTTGAAGTACATTTACATGTACTTCTTCCTAAAATGAAATATCACAATGTACAAATGTCAATAATTGAACTGGAAGCTGCAGTGCTGATTGTAAAGGACTGCAAGCTGAAGGTATATTTTATTAGGGTTCAAGCATACATTTATACTGTAAGTCTTAAAATACAATGTTAATGCCACAAAGAGACCTCCTGTGGGGATGGAGAAGGATGTTCCAAATAAGTTACCCAAAAGTAACAGTTCAAGTTGAAATAAATTTGTTTCATGCTTGCTTCTATTAGTTTAATAATTCAGTGTTTTATTGCCTAAACAGGCTGCATGAATCTCATTTGTTTTCTAAAATGTAACCAGCTTTGGGATGCATTTGGGTTTTGGGATTTTTTTTAGGTTTTTGTTGGTTTTTTTTTACATCACCTTCTCTCCCCCTCCTGTGTCTTGTGGCTCACTGGTGCTGATCTATAGAGTGCCACTGGAGATACCATAGTGTCATCAAAGGCTTCAGCAGTCGCTGCAGCACGCCGAGCTGGAAAGGATGCCAGGGAGAAGAGGTCTGTGAGTGATGTAGACAGCCTTCTGCTGGCAGGTGTTGAGGTCCCTGACCCTGTCTTCTTCTGTACAATTGAACCTCCTTCAATGGCCAAACAACAAGGTACAATGCAGCCACCTGGCTGACATGAATGATTTGCACAAATTTATCAGTCAGTGATCTAATAAGGCTCTTTTTGGTGTTTTGCACTGATGTTGTATTTTAGATCATGTTTGTTGATATCCTTTGCTATTACTACATCAAGCAGTACTAGTATTAGTACTTTTCTTGTTTTTGTGTCTAGAAGAATAGTGGTTCTTCATTTAGAAGTAGGAGATAGAGGCACTCATGCTGAGTTTTGCTGCAGTCACACTGATGTGCTGTACATATGTCATGACTACGAATAGCCTTGAAATGTGGGGGTTTTTTTCAGTTGGCATTTGCAGTTTTATTACTCTGTGTGTAATGTCTTCACTTAGCAAGACTTCTCTGTGTCTAGTTAGGGTTCATCCATGCAGTCTGAGCTGTAATCTTACTGTCTTCCCAACTGTCTGTACCAGAGGACTTGATTATTTGACTCTTTTTGGAAATAACCCTTTAAACTCTGGATCTTTATTCTAACAAAGCTGAGCTTGGTTGGGAGCGAAGAGGAGGAGGGATAAATAGTGGAATGGAGCAAGGTATAACACAGAATGGGAGCAACATGTCTGTAGGCTGAGCAACTGGGTTGTAAAATATTACTGATTTTGGGAGGTTGGATGTTTTAGTTTGCTTTTGTTTGTTTTTTTCCCCAAAGATAAAAAGGCAGATAAATGCAGTCTCAGCTCTTAGTTTATCATTCTGTAGCTGCTTTCATCAGCAGTTAAGATAATGGGGAATCAGAAAAAAAATAGTATCTGTATTTGCATTTGAACTTCTCATGTTGAACTCATATTTAAGTAAATCATTTAACAGTTGACAATTTCTCTTATCTGTACAAAAGGATCAATACTTTTTATTGACTTTTACGAATCATTTATAGGTTCCAGTCTGTCTCCATACAAACACAAAATATCACTCTCAAAATAGTACATTAAATAATTAAATTAAAGCACTCTGTAGTGCAGGTAATTTGTATGAAAAAATCAGAAGTTTCAGGTTACTTGTAATTTGACCTGACTTTGTTTGCCAAAATCTGTGCTTCTCTAGGGTCCTTTTGCTTGCTCTAAGATTTGACCTTATGAGGAAGGTGATACTTAGGCACTTTCTGTAATTCTCAGACTACTGAATCACTTTATATCAAACATATAATGTTTGATATTTATGTACAGACTTGGATAATGCATTGAGCTGCCTTCAGCGTGAAGATCCAAGTTTAAAAGTGAAGATAGATCCTGACACAGGACAAGTAAGATGAATCTTTTACTACTCCCCTTATAACCAAGTTTTGTTTTAGAACTCTCAAGTTAGTTCATCTGCATATTGAGATTTTCTTGAATAAAAAGGACTCTCTAAATGTTGTATATACAAAGTTCAGTGTGTGAAACTAAAATGGAGCCTTGTGCAGTTCTGCTTTACAGAATAGAGGAAGTCACCCTGTGCTCTGCATGTTTTTGACAGTTCTGTATTTAAAAAAGTTTGAATTAGATAGTCTTTAAGATAATGTAAGATTACCTGTTTTTAGCGGTCACAGTAGTGGTGACTACACTTTCACGTGTGTTACTGTCAGATGACTTATATAGCAGTGTTTTCTCTCTAGGGTCCTTAGAATTTGAAGTATTGAAGGTTTTTGACAGTTCAAAGCATGCAAATCTTTGCTTAAAGCATTTGTAATAAAACCTCTGAGTTTTGGATGTTTTTCCACTTTCTCTCAACTGTCTTCTCACCAGACTATCCTCTGTGGCATGGGAGAACTACACATAGAGATCATTCATGACCGAATCAAACGTGAATATGGAATTGAGACTTATTTGGGACCTCTTCAAATAGCATACCGAGAAACCATCTTAAGTGCTGCCCAAGTTACAGGTAAAATGAGTAAATGGAAGGAACATCTTGTTTCTGGATTTGTAACTTGATGTACTTTAAATGATATATGACTAACTTTCAGATTAATGTTACGTATTAGCATTTTTTTTCCAAATGGCTGTTTCACTTTTTTTCCCTCCTCCTTGCAGATATACTGGACAAAACAGTAGGAGATAAACGACACTTTGTTACTGCAGAGTTAGAGGTGAGACCCAGGTCAGGGGACAGAGCAATGACAAAACCCATCATTGACTATACTGAGAGTGTTATTGGAGAACTACCCAAAGAACTCCAAGGAGCTATAGAAAATGGAATCATGAATTCATGCATTCAAGGTAAAGGAAGTGCTATGACAGCTATACTAGTCTAATATTTTTATAAGAAGCAATTTAACAAGTTTCTAGACGGAAACACTCCTTGGTAGCTTGAAAACTAAAAAGTAGTACATACTAACATGTAAGATGGAAAGCAAAATTATGAAATTTCCTTAACTACAAAAATTGCCGAACACTCTTCCCTATTTCAAGAATGGAAGTCAGCATCCTTTGGTTTGGTTTTCAGGTTGATTTCATTTCAGTCACTCTAAAGTGAGCTTGGAGTTCTGGTTTAATCTGCTGTTAAGAGAGAAGGTGTTTACTTCATGACAGAAATGGTTTCAGAGGCCAACATGTACACACCGCACTCTATTGGTGTTACTGATGCATTTTTGGCAAATAGATAAAATCCATGAGTTTTCAGTAAAGCCTTACCTAACTGCAAAGTGAGGGCTTTCTCAAGGACTAAAAGTGTCCTTGACTTTTGACTAAAAATAGGAAGTATTTAATTACGTGTGGCCAAAGAGCTCTGTCTTACAATAAAATTAACAGGTAGTGGCTTGACAAATGAGAATTACTCTGTACGAAGTGTTTTTTCCATGTTGCTATGTGGAATTGGAAAGCATCTCCCGTCTCTGGCTGTGGAATGACTCTTAGCTGTGTGCTTTTCTTCATGCTCCTTGAAGACACTTCAGAATTGTGCTGTCTCTGGCCTAAAATTGATGCCATTAAAACCCCAAAAAGATCTGGCCATGTTCTCTGTAAGAAAAAAGCAAGGTGTTTTTTCTCAGATGGCCTCACATCTAGTCTAATACAGTTTGGTTTGGTTGAGAGTCCTGGGTTGGAGGGAGGTAATCTGTCTGAGATGCTAGATGTCATTAATCCTTTATGGAATTGAGTTAACCCTGGAGTTGTGGTGGTGGGTTAGTATCAGGCTTTGCTGTGATCATACTGTGTTGAAAAGGAAGATGTAGAAAATACTCTGGCTTCTGGTTTAAGAAAAGGTTTCACTACTTTTTCAAGTGAGATCTTGTTTCAATAGACAAGTTTTAGATACTACAGTGTATTTTTTAAAAGCTTCATTTTCGGGAACAGTTGTATGGATGAGCACACTCAGGAACTTACTGTTCTCAGAACTATCTATGTTTTTGATAGAGTAAGAAAGTATTCCTTTGTCTCTTTTGGCAAAGCTAGATAATGACAAAATCACAAAACGAGGAAGACAACCAGTAGTCACATTCTTTCAGGGGTGGACAGGGACGGAGAGAGCAAAGAGGAAAGTGAGAAGCTTTAAATCAATCCTGAAAAATTTTTTGCATATCTCTTAATATTCTGAAAAACAAATCTGCTTTTTTCTTTCTGCTCTTCTACACTGGCCCACCCAGGACCTCTGCTTGGATTCCCAGTTCAGGATATAGATGTGACAGTGCAATCACTGACAGTGCATCCGGACACCTCCCACACAATGGTATCAGCCTGTGTCTCCCGTTGCATGCAAAAGGTACACTGAAACTGTAAGCTGCTGAAGAATACAGCAGCATGATATACTGCTGGGAAAATCTGTGTGTATCCGTATCTGGTACTTGATCTGCTCTGTCAGTGTAATGCCCTTGCTGAGAATTCTACAGCTTTTGAAGGTAGAGAATTTGAGAGACGGTGTTAGCTTCACGATAGAAGTACCTATAACGTCAATTTTATTTTAAACAAACAAACAAACCCCCAAAAATACATTGACGTAATGTCCCTTCCTTCCTTTCTGTGCAGGCCTTGAAAAAAGCTGGTATACAAATACTGGAGCCCGTGATGAACCTAGAAATCACAGTAAGTGAAGATCACCTCAGTGCAGCACTTTCTGATCTTGCACAGCGGAGAGGTAGTATTCAGGAAATCCAGAGTCGTCAAGATAACAGAGTTGTGGTTGCTGCTGTTCCACTAGCAGAAATGATGGTATGTGATTACCTTACTAATGGTAAAACTAATTTTTTTATATGCTTCAAAAAATGGCTTCACTTTTTGTTACATATAAGTTTAGAATGGATGGGGGTTTTTACTGTATTTTAATTATTGAAGGTCCAAAGGAAGTGCCCACAAATCTAGTAGTGTTCTTTTGCCCAATTCAGATTGTTAAACCAGCACATACTGAAGTGTAAGTCAAAGAAGTAGTAAGTACTGCTAGAACAGGTTTTACAGGGAATAGTTTTTAAAAAATATTATTATTGACTCATGCATGTTTTGCACTTTTAATAATGTTAAAAAATTAACTTACTAGTATGTTGCAGTATACTTCTGACACTCTCTCTCTCTCTGTGTTAACTCATCTTCCCTTTATCCTAAACTGAGTGACACATCATCTCCATTTTGTCCAGGGCTACTCAACAGTTCTGCGTTCTTTAACATCAGGCTCAGCAACCTTCACATTGGAGCTTGCCAGTTATCAAGCCCTGAACAGTCAAGAGCAAAGTGCACTTCTTCAGAGGAGGATGGGGTTGGTGTGATCACTTTACTCTGTAGAACGGTGTTTTCTATTCTCCATGTTAAATATTTCCATATGTACACCAGTACGTTCACCTGGGACCAACTGGTGGTGGTAAATGACGAGTCAGCAGCCATATGAACAGACTGGGCTCTTAATTGTCTGCGGGGGAAAGTTCAAGAGCCTGTTTTAATGGCACAGCCTTGTAATTGCAAAGCAGGTATGGAACCACAAGGTGTTGCTTTGCAAATTTTTATCTTACAGATAAGATCCGTAAGGAGAATTGATGCACATCCTTTTCACAGAAATGAGGACTAAGTGCATGTTAGTGTGCCACGAGAACTGATTCTTAATTTAGTAAATAAAGTTTGTGAAGTTTATGTCTATCAGTGAAATAACTTTACAGTTTCGGCAGTCTGTGTCATCATTTGTTTTCAGCTGAATGAAAGTATATGGTTAATATGCACTTTAAACAGTACAACTAAAGTATTACTTCTTGTACTGGTAGCAACTAGTTATGAAAGAGAGTTCAGGACTGGGTGTAACTTCTACCTGAGTTTGCTTTAGCAAGTAGGTGAAATGGATACTTCTGCAAATTGAGTAAGATCTGTGCAAAAAAAATACAAGAAAGAGAGAGTTCTTCCACGATGGTAATCCCTACCTACCACCCTGCAATATGATGACGGAGGATTTTTTTTTTACCTTTAGGAATGAGTGAATTAAGCTATAATAGTCCTGATTTGCTATGAGTTGCAATTATCTGGTTACCCAGAAAACTGGCAAATGATAAAATACTTTGAAATAAAAAAGATAGTTTGCTCTTTATTTAAATGGTGTCTTAGCTTTATTTTCTCAACTTTAGAATGTAAAGAAATTAAAATTAATAACTATGGTATCAAGTTTCAGGATTTCACAGTGAAGAATCCCAGTTTCTAAAACCCTAAAAACAACCATTTTTACTCCAACAAGGTTATCAAACAATTTTATTTTAAAAGTGAAAATTTTAAATCTTGATTCAAATACATATTCATACCCCAGAGGCACTTCAGGTTGTTGAGGAGAAGTCTTTGCAGCAGTTACGGCCGTCTCCCTTCATGGGCGCAGTATCCAACAAACACCGGTTCGGCTGCTATGCCACGGCTGTTAAAATAAAGTGGAATGTGTATGACTATAATCAAACAACTGGCTGTTTGTATAGGCAGGAAGAGAGATACTGGCACTCCATTCTATAAACAAAACTATGTCCAAGAAATAACAGATGTCGTCTCTAGGGAGCGAAAAGGGGCCCTATTCTACTTCTAATTGTACTTCAGTTCTCTGTTTCAATCAGAGCTACCGAGCTATTAGCAAACATGTTGAAAAGCTTAAATTCAGGACCCAGTTGTCTTGATGTTATGCAAAATTTACAGCTTTTATTGAAAAGAAGTTATAAGAACATGCAAATATAAATCAATTCACATTTGCACACTCTCCCTGCTCCCAACCCTCATGTTTCCTGCATATGCAGCTCTAATTATGTAATTTTCATTCATATTTGGGGGGAGCCAAGATTTCTTCCAGCTTACACTATCATAAATTAGTCTGTTCTCATGTGGCTTTAAAAACAAACTAACCAAGCCCTTGTAGTTTATGATGGTACAGTAAGATAGTATAAAAAAAATTTTCAGAGTTAAAGAAGTTGTAGTCAAAATTCTGCTTCTTGAATATTTAAGGACTAGATACTACTGCTACTAGTGTTTAAAAGTGCTGCAGTGGAAGAAACTGAATAATGGATTACCTCAGCTGAACTATTGCTGCACCTAAGCAAGTCCTACTCTACTTAGTAAAGACAGGGCTGGTGTCTAGGCCTCTAGAATAGATGCCCACCTTTTTGTTTCCTTTCTCCCATTATCATTTCAGTTTGGGCTGCTGTGTCCTAGGGGAAGTTGAATTTAGATCTGAATAGTAGCTACTGCTTTCACTGTATTATTTCAAGAGCAGTGGCCTCAACCTTCAATAGGCAGAGTTATTCTTCCAGTGACCACAACCGAGCTGTTACAAAGTGCTACCCATCCATTCCCTCACTCCCTCATAACCAGCTGCAGAGCAAGCCAGAGCTGTTCATTCTGCTTGGAAAGTCTCCTTGGCCTTCTACAATTGCCATGGTCTATGTATACACCATATATAAAAACATAAGTAGGAACACAATCCTTTTCCCACACACTAAGACTATAATAGCCTGATATTAAATCATCTCTTTGAGCTTGCACAATTCTAAGGAGGTTGTGTATACATGAAAGGCAACAGAACTGCAGCTCTAAGGAATGCTCATTTCATCACTGGAAAGGGGATGGTTTCTCTAGTGTATTTCTTGTTCAAAACCTGTATCAAAAGAATAATTTTCAGGAGGACATGTCCTTTTATTAAGGTAGTCAGTTTCTAACAGGAATAGTTCACCCTAAGGCAGCAAAGCAGTTTTTCTTTAAACTAGTTTCTGGTGCTAAAATGTGCAGTAAGTACAGGGAGTAGTGTTTAGTCTGCCCCTGCATCTCTCATGCCAGCACCATGAGAGCAGCTGTCATCAGCCAGCCAGCTCCCTATACAGCAATACAAGTACCAGTGTTAAGGAAGAAGATGGAGATGCAGCACTAGAGTTAACCAGGTCCAGGACTAACATGGCTTAGTTCACTGTAAAACCCTAATCCTAGTGGTACAGCCACTGTTCACTTCACTGTTCAGTTGTATTTGTTTTCTTAAGCCCCATCAAGAGATGCACCATCCTGTTAAGTAATAGGGCATAAGTTTTTAAAGCCCTTTAATCTTGTTTTTAACATGTATTTGCTAACTCCCTCAATGTATCTATTTTTCTCATGACGGAGGAAGATAGCACAATTTACACATAGCTAGTTTCCTAAGCATTATTTTAAGCCAGCTTGAAATAAAACCAACAAATCAAAACTTACAAGTCCTTCAGTCACTCGCTAGCTCTTAAGGAGCTAGTGTGTACTGTAAGCTAAATGCCAGTGATTCAAAGAGATAATCATTTTAAGACACCTACAGGAATACAAGCAGAGTGCTTCAGTTTTAAGTGCTGACTATAACTGCTTTTGTATCCTGTTCTCTAAAAGGCTGATTTCTTTCTACCTTGAAATACTTCCACATAGTGTTGAGATTTTCAATAATTGTCATAAACTTTTGTAGAGAAATAAAATGGCATGTTTCATTCTTGCTGCAGTCCAACTATGCACCAGCATTTGGGAAAACCTAAATGTTAGTTGTGAAACTGTCTAGAACTCCTATCTTAATGCATCTTTCTTCCTCTTCTGTGGATACAAACCACACTCCCTCTCTCTTCCCTTCATTTCCAGGTCAGCACTTTAGGTCTGTACTTCTGTTCCACTGGTTATAAGACATGAGAACCAAGATACACTGTAGCCACTAAATCTTACCGGAGCATGCGGCAGCGATGATTCCTCAGCCTTCTATAGGCATCTTGCAAGTCGGTCACATTCCTGCTGCTCCAGAGTCTTTCTCCTACAGCACTTGCTCGAGGCCTGTAAAGGTATACTAAGTTTTAGAGTAGGTGTGGTCTATAACCAAGAATAGATAAAATTTTTTTATAGCTGCTCAGGTTCAGCACAGAGCACTGTCACCACTATCATACAGTCTTCTTGGATTAATTAAGATCCTTGCAGCTGGCTTTTGAAAACCTAATGATAAAGCAGTTCATACCATAATCTTGGTGTCAGGTTAGTTGCGTCCACAAATTCCCCCCACAGGCAGGCTTCTCCACCTATTAAAAGTTTCTTCTGTTCTTCAGATCCTGAATTCAAAGCAGAAGGTCAGAATTTTTATTTTTCCAGAAGATGAGAATATATCAAAAATTTAATTTTCTAATACTTAGAAAGGATTGATGTTCAGTTGTTTGTTTGGTCATATAAAACTATTCTGAGCACTAACTTAACATTTTAGTAGTCTTGTTACTGAATGGAGAACCACCAGGCTGTTTGCCCAGAGAAGCCTCTTCTCCTCTCTTTCAGAAAGTATTTTACCTTTTATCCCCTGAAGACATTCCTCAGCCTCCTGACATTCCTCAGGGATATCAGTCCTGATGGAAACTGTTCATTCTATCACATGCAGAACATTCCTTGAAAAAACCACTTAGTCAGGTGTTTCTCCTAATCAGCTCTGAGACCTACCTTGCACAAAATAAAAGCCCCATGGAAAGCATAACATGTGTGTATCAGCTTTAGACAGAAGGAGAGAACATGTCTTCTATAAAACAGTTTCACACTCTAGAAGCTTGCTAACATATGTCTACCAGCAGCCATTCTGCACAACTCCGCACCTGAAGTATGAGGCACCTGCCCACCTTGTCCATCGTTCTGTCTCACACAAGCACCAGTATCAGATCCTGAGGAAGGTAACACCTTTCCCTGTGAGAAGTGCAAAGTTCCCTTTTTTTTTTAAATTTAAGAATTTTCCAGAGTTCTAGTTGACATTAAATTCCTTTGATTACACTATAATCACAGTGATGGAATGACCCCTCTAAACAGCCTTATTCTTTCCATTTACACCTTACTATAAACCAAAAAATTTCATGCACAGAACATGCATATAAAAAAAGTAACAAACCAGGGAAGTCAAGTGGTTCAACACGGTAGTATTTCTTCCAGTCTTGCCCATAACTGATGTAGTCCAAATACCAGGGTGCAGCCAGGACAGCGGGGAACCCAGCTCCAGTGACGCTGCTCAGTTCATGAGCATAGCTGTTTGCCATCCACACTTGAACTACAGTGTCTGGTTTCAGCTAAAAGGGGGTAAGACAGAACAAACAACCCCGATCACCCCCCCCCCCAAAAAAAAGCCATTAATGACAATCCTAATTGCTGTTATCAGGAAAAAAGGATCATGAATTTCAAAACTGGCTATTTCGTTTTGAAGAGGAACATTTTGGAAGCTACCTGTGGTCATCTCCCCCAAAGTCTAAAGCTAATTATCTCTTTGTTGGTTTTAAACACAGCACTTCTGAGTGAAGCCTAGGTTATACTACAGACAGTTAATGCTCTAAGAGGATTCCTTCATGCACCCCATATCTGACCAGCTCTTAAAAGCCAAGCATCTGGTGTTACTAGATCAGACACACAGTTGTGTGAGGGGGGAAAAAAAAAAAGGAAACTCCTAGAAACTTCCCTACCCTTTACTCTGACGCTTTAAAACATATTATATTAACTGTGTTCACCTTCAGAAAGAACTTCAATGCTGGTGTTCCTGTCCCACCTATTTTACATGGTCAACAAATGGTAATTTCAAGGGAGGCCTCACACCTGGGGAGACTTGCTAATGTCAGAAGACTTGCTTTGACTTTTAAGAAACATAAACAGACCTACTTAGTAGCCTACTTTGGAAGCCTCCCACAATATCGTGCTGTTATACAAAAGTATCTTATTAATTTTCTCATCTTACCTGTGCTTTGTGATCAAACACTTCTTGCCAGATGATTTGTCCTTTGTTATAGGAGGAAACAATGTCCAAAATGCTGGAATTTAGAAATAAGATCGGGTTTGTGAACTTCAGTAAGTACAGGCACTTGAAGTAGCAATATTTTCTACCCTAAGGCACATCTGACATTTCCCATCACTGCATAGGGTACCACGAAAAGCATGTTGTTCTGGTTTTGGCCTTCAATGCTCTTGAAGTCCATGCGTATAACAGTGTGTGTGTGCATCACAAACTGATGTTCAGAACTATCAGCAACTTGTACACAGTGACTAAATCCATGTTATTTAAGAAGGAGCCAAATAAATGGCTGCAAAACCTTTTCCTCCACAGCCTGTGTGCTGCCACTACTGCAGATATCTAGTTTAAGATATCCAATACATTCACAGTGTGTGTAGAACTAGCCTAGATATCCTTGATGTATCCCACATTTTAAACCTATGAACTTTACATTTGATGTATTAAAGTGGGTAGTCCCCCATGTGTTGATTTTTGAAAACAATATAGATATTACATCAGCTTTAGTATCTGCACCTCAGTGCCACCCTCAGATAGTGACTGTGAAAAACCGAGCAGGAATAAAAAAACTAACATACTTCTGAATATAGTAAGATTCCAGTTTAGCATAGTCACTGCCAAAACCTTGCTTCTTCATGAACTCTTTCACTTCAGGGTTAGATTTCCTTAAATAATAACAAGGAAACAAGTTAAAGAAAAGATTATTTTTGTTATGTTTTAAACCAGATTTCCCAAACATTTCCACCTATGCAGAGCACTAGATGGTGCCTTTGGCATGCCATAGCCTGGAATGCAAAACAGAGCAGAAGCAGCAAGCTAACACAACTTCGATATTTTGGAACAGTTTCATCCTGATTTGAAGTAAAGCCAATAGTCCTAATTCTCTGGTAAAACTAGTGGAGTCCCTGTTCTGAAGCGGTCTCTGGCAGATTGCCTCAAACTCTTAAGAGCTCTGGGGTTCCTGGCATCTCTGTGACTTAGTGGGAAGGCTGTCAGCAGGTCTGGGAACTCATCAATTTTGTGCTTTTACCACAGAAGCAAACCAGTACTTCTGTGGTAAAGCATTTGTCAGAAGTTTTCTTTCTCTATAAAAATTAAATCAAGTCCTGAGTGTTCAGATTTGATGTTTAAAGAGAATCTTTGATGTTTAAAGAGAATCATCAAAATGTTCAAATTCTGTACTATCAGTTACTCCAGCAAAGAGACTCCAAAATATTCAAAATCCACAAACAAATTAAGAGCTCTATTAATACATGTCACACTTTAAATACAAACACAAAAGAATCAGCTTGGTACTACTTAGTGTTAGCGTGTTTTCTGGAGGGCAGAACTCAATGGAAAGATCTACTATAACATACAGTATTTAAATGTTAATTATCTTATCTAGTACTTTTCTATCATATTAGTTCTCTTTCCTGCCAGGTTAATTTTCATAAAGAAATCCTTCAGAGTACTTGAGCATTTGTGAAACTACTAGACAAAGCAAAATTCTGCACATCTCTTGCTTGTTGAGAATCACAAATGCTCTGCTTGTAGATAATTATAGAGATAGGAGTGGAGATCTTTTGGTCATGCAGTGAAAACTGCCTCATGCAACTGAGTTCCATAATTAATGGATGTGGATAGGTTTAAGAAGCACTAGACATTTGTTCTTTGAATTGTCACCATACCAGCAACTGAAGTCCACTTCATCTCCTCCCAAATGAATGTATGCATCTGGAAACACACTGCTGATCTCTTTGAAGAATTTAGTCATGAAGTCATAAGTTGTATTCAAAATAGGATTTACAGGTCCAAAGGACCCAGTTGGCTGTCCTCCATCGTAACAAGGAGTGAGAAGATCTTTTTGACCTAGTAAAAACAATTAATAGAGGACATGCAGTTCCATGTTGCTATGCTAGCTTTACTAGCAGGAAGAAGCAGTTACCCATATTAAAAAGGTTAATATTCATGACTTAAGTGCTCACCTATTCCAAGTATAATCAAATAGAGGTAGAATGAAATAAAACAACTTGGACAAGGTTGAAGAACCCTCTAACTGGCAATTAGGACTCGGACTTTCAGATTTGTGATTTAACACACACTAATTTATGTAACATGTAACACTATATCTGAAAAACAGCATTTGGATGACTATTTGAATAAAAAAAACTTTAATGGATTTAGGAAGGAAGCCAATTAGAAGAAAGCCAAGCATAATGAGTATACTTCAGAGGCCTCTTTCCTATTTTTATTACTCTGCTTTGCTAACATCTAAGTAGGTGTGAGGTATATAGCTCAAGGTAGATGTCCTACCTCACTCTCCTAGGAATTTACCTTTACACAAGAAAGGAAGGCTAAACAGAGATCAAAACTACGCAATGGTTCTCAAGTCAAGATATCTGAAGCAACATGAGCCACGATAACTAAATAGGAACGAGTTATTGTATGTGGGTTGGAGATACCTAAATCCAGCTTATTTAGTACACCATAGTTGCAGCAGCAGCACCTTCCTGCCTGTGTGTTTACCTACTCTGAGCACATTTCCCCCAAATGAGGCCCTAGTGCTAAATTGCTTCTACTACCCTACTCACAAGCATTAAGACTTCTCTCCAATATCCTGAATTTGAATGCAAGCAAAGCATAGCCACCCAAGTTCATAAGCAAAGCCAGGACTAGCTCCTGTGTATCGCATAAAAAAAAAAACTGTACAGGAAACTATCAAGAACACTTGATTTTAGGCAAGGGAGATCAACTTGCTCTTCAAATGAATGTAGAACCCCCACATATAGCCAGGTAAGCCAGTGATTTAATAGTTTGCTGTAAGCGCAAAGACCACTTGAGATAAAGGATTCAGAAAGAGTGTGTTTAGCAAATTTGGGGTTTGCCTTGTTCCTTTCCTTCTCATTTTGAATTACTGAGAAAGAGCCTAAGACATCTTTCAACATTATAGCCACAGCCCTACAGGACGAATACAAGACTTGCTCTGTTGCTAAAGCTGAAGTTATGAGGCACTAAAAAAAATCTTTACTTTTGGCCAAGACCATCTTAAGTTAATTGCAGTGAAATTGCATTCAGTGCACATTGAATTAAGGCACAAGGTTTCCTGGTCCTTCAGTACATGTAAACACCAGCATTCTGTATCAAGAGAAGTATTACTGTGAGACCAAGAAGGTAAGAGAGTGAAGAAGTATCCAACTTAGCTGTGTTTTGTACACTGGCAGATTACCACTTTACTAAGAGATAAACATCAATCACTTTGAAAGAACCTTCCCAAAGCAGAAATATCTACTCTACACCAGACAGCAACTCATTTTTTCTAGCTACTGCCTTATTATTCTAAACTTGAGTACTGAGTGAGGAGATGTCAACAACATAAAGTCTAAGGCAGAATAGATCTGTACCTTTGCACACACATCCAGCACAGGACGTGTCAACTTTCTTCATTCATTTTAGATGCTGTAACAGGTAAAGGTCATGACATCACAGAGTCTGCCCCTTCCTTACCTCTTACCAGGGGCCTTCCAAAGCACTTTATTGACTACTTTTTAAAAAATCCACAATCTCTTAACAATTTCTTTCTTAACAATACTTTCTTGGACATACCTTTTCCCCAAGACTGCGTGTGTCCTGGGGTATCAAACTCTGGGATAACTCTAATGCCTCTTAATCGGGCATACTCAATCACCAGACGGACATCAGCAGGAGTATAGATGAGATTACAGGAGTATGCTCCCTGTAAAATAACTCACATTTAGAGACAGTTTACAAAACACTATACCAGCAGCTCACAAAATTTGGACTAAAGTGTTGTAAAACTCCTCTACAGTCTACATTATAAGTTAGCCTTTTCTTGTTTATCACATGTGCAACTGCACTGATGGAACTTTTTGGCTGACTAGTGGAGAGAAGAAAAAAACAATCAAAAAAACAAACCAACAAGTTCACAACACTGAGACAGACCTCCTTGAGAAGACCACTCTTTCTTCCTTAGTTCACAGTTACTGAAGAAAACAGAAAAGCTAGTTTCTATTGTCAGATTTCTGAAAGATACAGTTTTCAACTCTTCTGTACAGAGGCAAGTTATTTTTTCCCATTAGCTCTGAAACGCAGGGCTCTTGCTACATAACACGCAAGACTAATGGAAAAATTCTGCTAAGTCAGAAAGAATGGTGTCTTTTTCCAACACCTCTGCTTTTCAGTTTTGATATAGAGACCAATTTAGTATCGGGGAGTGTTTGTTTTGTGACACTGAATTTGAGTGTTATTCTACTCTCTCACACCCAAAAAATGTGACAAATGACCCAGACAGCTACAGTTTGGTGAAACAGATGCTTGCTAAAGACCCAAACTACGTAAGAATACATCATGACTCTTTGTGACTAGTAGCACCTTAAGCTTTCATTTCTCTAGAAATGGTTTCCGCAGCTGAGTTACTCAAAAAACGTAATAGCAAACAAGATTTTCAAAGAGGAGGCTATTGAGACAAAAGCCATCTTCCTCTCTCCAGCTGTCAGTGGAGCATAGGACAGAACTCCATAGCCATTACTAGGAAAAATAATCTGACTGCACTGTGCAACATCTACAATTTTTGAATTATAAAATTCTTCATGGCATCTGCTCAAGCACTGCCTACACAATTTTCATGAGGGTCAGATTCCAGCAAGCGTTTTAAAACAGAATCAGTAATCTTGTACTTAGACTTAGTCTACTTAAGTATTCATGTTTGATTTGGTTTCTACCGTACCATGACTGAGCAAGAACCTCATGACTTTCAACTAATTTAACAAAGCCTGCTATGAATCTAGAAATAAAGAGACACATTGCATTGTATTTGTTTTAGAAAACAACTTCTCACTTTCGTACCTCTTTATAGGGATGTTGTGTTTTGTAAAGTTAACTAGATCTCAGACAAGGCAAAAGTATTATTGCAGTGGTTTCAAACCTAAATCTGGCAAGAAACTCTCTTACATCTAAGTGGCAGGAAGCCTAACAGTTAAAAAAACCCACCATAAGAAATTCAAGCAGTGTTCACTACTTATTTGCATACCATTACTGTTTGAAGTCCTGCAAACACTGAGGATCATTAAGTAAATCTGCACAGAAGAGTTAGGAAGGCCATATACCATGTATCCACCAAGGAAGATTTGAAAATAGTCCACACAGACACTCAGGTAGAATCCTAAATGTGGACTTGCTGATTACTGGTCATGTAGTACTGTTTCACAATAAGCCAAAGCAGATGTACTCAATCATTGGTAAACTCTGCATTTTATATTCATGAAATATGTACTGGATTTCAGCCCTTCCACCCCACTCCAATGATGTTCACTCACCTTATCACTTAATTCAGGGAAATAAATGCTCTGGTAAGGGAATGACTGGTCATCTACTATATGCCAGTGGAAAACATTGAACTTGTTAAAAGCCATGGCATCCTGTAAGAAATTATGCAAAAGACTTTAGTCAAACACTTCACTTTCATAGAAAACCTATGGAAAAAAAGTCCACGCCTGAGCATATCCTGCATACCTAAAGCAACAGCTAAAAAAGAAAAAAACCAAACAAACCAAAAAACCCCAAACCAAGCAAAAAAAGCATAGTGTGTTTCACTGAATCCTAGAAGCACACACCTCTACTGGTTCATTCCTCTCCATCTATTTGCACCTCTGCTGGCAACAAGCTCTTGATCTAACCCTCTTCTACCCGCCTGTGTAGTAAGAACTGCTATAAACACTCATTCATTTCTTCCACTTCAGAACATTTCTGGGTAATTCTGTATACACCATCATATATTTCAGCTTACAGAAAAGTTTATACTTTTATAACTACTTTGGACTCGAAAACTTAACAGCATAAGGGAGTTTCCTGTAATTCCTATTTAGTACATCCATTCTTGCTACTGATTTCTGAAGACAGAAATCAGTGTTCAAATTTGTGTTCAAATTTGTGTTCAAGTGCACACAAAATAAACCATGCTTTTTCCCCACAAAAGACAGTGCTTCCTTTATGTGTTCAATTATTACAGTCGTTACTTCCCTTTTTTTTTGAAACTGAAGATAAGATCAACGTTAACACACTTATTTTAGAATTATGACTCCAGTTGGACGGTTACATACGTACCCTGAGTTATGCTAGCTTGATAGTCCGTAGAAACATGTGCTGTGAGCAGGCCAAATAAGCGTTCTCTACATTGTTCATGACTGATTGCAACACAGCTGTTTTCTAATCCCTTGCCACAATACAATTATTCTCACATTTCTCCCATTCTTTTTTTCACCAATCTGTGTTTAAAGAAGTGATAAAATCTCTTCAGGAACTCCCACCAAATCCAAAAGGATATTTATACCTTGTCCATTCCCCAAAATTATCTCATCTGTTTCATTACACTGCAGAAGTTTTAATTGCCACGTCTTCGTTCATTTCTATCAAATACCATCCTTCCACATAGAAAATTACATCTCCTGACTTTCACCTCAGCCACTCTTCTCTCAAGAACAATGCCCTTCCTGCAAATACAGTACAGCAGCTGAACACAAATAAGAAAGGTATGTGAACTGCTGCCCTAAGCATCTTATTACCACATGTCAGTGAAGAGATTATTGATGCTTTTTATTACCCTGGATTCAAGCAGGCACAGAGGTGGGAGGAAAAGTACACTTGTTCTTAAACCAGCCAAATTGCATAAAAGATAGCTCTAGTAATGTGTTGGAGAGACACAGATGCAATTTAAGGAAAGAAAACAGAACAGCAACAGTTACAGAAACACAAAACTGGTAGAAATGCAAGTCTCTTTCGATATCTTTTTTAGACAAGACGACAAACAACAGCACAAGTATCTACTTGAGAAGCACCCTCCATTGCAAATGAAACACTACACACAAGCACTACTTGTTGAACAGGCACTGACCTTGAAGGTAAAACAAGTAGTAAAAATTGGACAAGTTCTGAGCATAGTTCAAGGATGACCTCAGAAATGAAGACTGGTTTTACCTGCACTCTTCCTGCCCATCTTAAACCTGTTTTGCAAAGTTCTGCAACACGGAGGGGAAATTTCAAGTATTATTTCATTTTGGAGAAGCAAGACAGACAAAACAGGAAAATGCCTGTTCCTCCACTTCAATTCACTAAATAATCCCTTCTACAAGGATTTCAACAACAAAAAAAAAAGGAGTGCAAGACAGAAAACCCCACAGCTTTGGCTGCTATGCTTATAAAAATTCACTACCTTTCCATCAAGGTGGGAGTATAAAACTCTTAGTGTGCTTACATAAGCTTTTTGGAGAAAGTTTTATTTGTTTTGTGTTTTGTTGTTGTTTGTTTGTTTTGTTTGTCTGAGGTTTTCTTTTCAGGAGCTTCCAGTGAACATTTCCAAATTTCTCTCTTGCTCTGCAATACTTAATCACTGGTTTGCTCTAAGTAGCCTAAGAAAAGGACTACCAAAGCCCGGCTACTGAAAAGATGGGAATTTTCCTGAAATCACTGGCACTGAAGCTAGAACTTGCAAGGTCTCCTATGTATTGCTTGGTGACAGTCAGATGTCTCAGAATATGCTTCCAAGAAGTAACACATTAGCTGGCTTGGGCAACAAAAAATACGGAGAATCCAAGGTACCACAAATCCCAGCCCCCTTTACAGATTCACTAATCATTGTGTCTGCCTACTTGATTCCTCTCCAGTCTGTTCTGACCTTTGCTTAACAAAGTTCACTCTGTCCTTTTAGAAGTCAGCCAGAGGAGGTGGGTTTTTCTTTCATACCAGCTCCAGTTGCTACCTACTTCAGAGGACAAAACACAACAACAAAGAGCCTTCATTATAATGATACAAAACTGCCCACTTACCAGGTTTGTAAGAATAGATTTCAATGGTAAATAATGCCTTGAAGTGTCTAGTAAGATTCCTCTATGAGCAAATCTTGGGAAGTCATTGATTTCAGATTCATTGACAAGAAACTATGAGAACAAAATTTAAAAATCAGAACTCTCATTTAATATTCATAATTTCAAACAGGAAATACATTTTTTTTTCAGAAAATGTTTCTAGGAAATCTGTTAACAAACTGAAAAGTTACTGAATGAAACGGGTAAATCTGCTGTTTCTAGAAAAGCATCCAGTAAGGAATCTGTTTGTCTATAATCAGGACAGTGGTTTTACTTAATACTTACACTTCCATAGTCATCTTCATGAACCAACTGGCTGAAGGTTTCCAAACCTGGAAAAATATCCAAGAAAGGGATGTGGAATACAACCCAGTACTTGCCCTTAAAAGTTTTAGTTAAAAACAGGACCACAACTATTTACAGGCATTCACACAGTAAGAAAGAATGCTTTGTAGCTGAGTTTCCTTCTTTTCAGCACAGTTTCCTTAATTGCTCAAGCACCACTGTTTTAAAAATTCCGAAGACAGAACCATTCAAATTCTCCATTACACACAGATACTGAATACTATCACTACAGCTCAGCGGTAGCAAATTAATCCTTGAATAGTAAGAAAGTTACTGAGAGTAACATCTGCTGGTGTAACATTGCAGTAAGAACAGCAGACTGAAACTTCAGCATTATGATCTTCGTGGTAATGTGTTCAGCATGTCAAGTTATTAGGTGCAGTCAGAGAATAATCTGTTTACATTATAGATCAGAGAGCTTTTTAGCACCTAGGGTTTGCTTGGCCTGGCTGATTTCAGGCAAGCGAGAGTGCACTTACGGTGCGCCACTGGATCTGAGATGCGGAGCATCGAACCAACAACATCTGAGTATCCTCCTGGCCTGACCAAGCTTACTTCCAATGACATACTGAATGAGGGCACAGCTCAGTGATCAGCTGGTTCTTAGTCTGCCACGAAGTTTGTGTAAGACCTAAGCAAATAGCTCTATATGAAAAGTAGCAACTTACCTCTTAAAGCACCCCATACCTCATAAGCTTTCAGTATAGCCACAGGCTCAGTTACAGTTAAATGATCTAAAGAAAAGAAAAGAAAAAGGTTATTCCTCAAGAAACCATGAGTTGACAGGCCAATGCTAATAGGCGTTAGAGATTCTTCAAGTGCCACGTCTCCCTTTGTTTTTTAAATGACTGTTTTTAACGGTCATAGCGCGCAATTATTTTTCATTTGTTTTTCTGATATAATGCGAGCTACTGTTCAGAGAGTCAACAGTTAATAAACAAGAAGACAAAACGAGTGAGGTGCTTAATAATGGCAATGCTAAAATATTGTACATGGGCCAAAATTCCAGCCAAGTTTAACTCAATTGATTTAAAACATAACAGATTACATTTCCGCTTTTAAGGCATGGTGATAAGGGTTGAGTAACTATGCCAGACTTAACCACAAAAATTTCACTTCTCCTTTCACCTTCCTTTCATATAGATTATGCTTACATATTTTTATTAGAGATATAACTTTTCATATAATATTGCCAGGTACTAACCATAACGGTATAATGACAAAGGAAAAAAGCTAATAATCAGACCATAGAATCATAGAATATTCTGAATTGGAAGGGACCCACTAGGATCATTACGTTCAACTCCTGGCCCTGCACAGGACACCCCAATAATCACACCACGTGCCTGAAAGCATTGTCCAAACGCTTCTTGAACTCTGTCAGGCTAGATGCTGTGACCACTTCCCTGGGGAGCCTGTTCCAGTGACCAACCACCACCTGGACGAAAAACCTTTTCCTAATATCCAACCTGAACCTGCCCTAACACAGCTTTGTGCCATTCCATTGGATCCTGTCACTGGTCACCACAGAGAAAAGACCAGTGCCTGCTCCTCCTCTGCCTCATGAGGAAGCTGTAGACAATGATGAGGCCTTCCCACAGTCTCTTCTCCAGGTTGAACAGACCAAGTGACCTCAGCTGCTTCTCATACAGCTTCCCCTCAAGGCTCTTCCCCATCTTTGTAGCCCTCCTTTGGACACTCTCTAATAGCTTTATATCTTTCTTATATTATGGCACTCCAAACTGCGCACAATATTCAAGGTGAGGCTGCACCACACAGAGTGACTGGCTGGTGATGCTGTGCCTGATGCACAAATAGGATGCCAGGTCACTCTACTGACCCCACATCTAATGGACATGTGTATGGGGGCAGGGAGATGAAGTAAGGTAAGTAAAATGGAGAATGGTATCTGAAGGACTTCATAACAATCGTCCCTTAACTTTGTGTAACAAAGTACTGGTGAAAAAAAAAGGTAAAATAATTTTGGTTTTGCATTTAAGATGATTCAGTAAATTTTAGTAAAGAAACAAATATATTTTAAATATTTTTTTTAACCATGTACATATATATGTATAAAAATACACTATTTCTATAAATCTATAGATTTATATTATTATTTAAACAGCAAAGCAATAATAAGCTGACCAGGATTGCACATCTGACAGAGCAGAGAAAAAAAAGGGGTGAACTGCTGTACAAAGATTTATTTGATCTGTGTATGTATCAAAGAATCTTTTGTCATATAATACACAGTTCAAACATTTACCTAAACTGGCAGGAAAAAGCCATTCAGCGACACAAAGAAAGTACCTCAGTCTTCCATGTTAAACTAAGCACAGATTGCACTTACTGCAAAGTTTGGGTAAGAAAGAGAACTTAGAAGACTACTGCAAGTCTTTCTGTGGTAAATTGTGATCAATTGTCACGGATTTATTTCCAAGAGAGCAGGCTTTTTTTTCTGAACAGATATCATACCTTAACTGAATACAGAACAAGCTATTTGGAACCTTTTATACAAGCAGGTAAGAACTCAGCAGGGAGAAGGGCAGGCATTTTTATTACATATTCAATACTCTTTTTATAGGATAGTCACTGACTGATAAATACTATCTCTACTAAGGAGACACACCATCCAAACCATCAAGTGACCACCATTTTTCAGAATTGTTCCTTCAAAAAGCTTCAAAAACCCAGAAAATTAAAAACTCACTGAAGTCTGGAAAGCTCAGCTTACCACATGAGGAAAACATGCTATTTTTAACAGGAAAGTCATTTCTTAGAGCAGAGGGAAAAAACTGTGCCTGTTCTAAAGAATGCAACCTAAAGATCATATGATCTGACAGATTGTGTGACAGAACAGAAGAACCAGCTTTGGTAAAAATCTGTAGTTCACAAACCAGTTCAAAGTTCAAATTAGTAATATGGCAGCACAATAACCTGACTGTGGCAGAAAAATGCTAAAGTATTAGTATTTTTGCTGCTATATTTTATTTGCATTGAAATATATTATAAGCTTGCACACAAAACTATTTAGCTATATGTGCCAAAAGCATAGAGTACATTTAATATCAGTACATTCTATTACAAGTCAAGTGGAATTAATCCTGCTGCTGATGTATGACTTAAGATTAGAAGGATCTTTTTCTAAGGATCTGTATCCTGGATACCAAACAACTGCCTTCCCTAGTACAGAAGATTACCTCAAAACAGAACTAGATGAATTGAATATGTTGATTCCTGTGCTAGCCTGCCCAGACAAAAAGCAATCCTATCACTCATCCTTATTTCTGTTAAGAAAATTCTCTGGTAGTTAGTTCTTTATTTAAAGTACTTCTCCAGTCTGGACTTTAACCACAGAACTAAAGAAGCACAGAAAAATCCAATATAAACACCATGTTTTTAAATCCTTTCTGGTACCTACTGATAGAAAGTAGATTTATAACACTGCAAGATAAATAACAAGTTCAACACACACTTTCTGCTTTTCCTGGAAAAACAGGAAATACCATGTGCATATCTCAGTGTAAGTAGCTTCAATTCAAATGTAGTAATTTCTAAGGAGTACATATGGTAAACAAAGACAGCCTTCACTCAACACCCTGTACTGAAAGGGATGATCTCTTTGACTACACGCAGATCTCACCAAACATAACTGGATATTGCATAGCTTAGTAGCTCTGATTCCTAATGCTATTTGCTAGAAAGGACAGTAGCAGCTACCTGTACGGTAGCTAAACTGCAGAAATCACAGGCGACATGTCTAATGAGCTTCATGATTCCCTGTGAGCTGAGATTTCCCACAGCATCAAGGGCAGGAATTATCTTCCGGTCGCCACTGTTCTAAAACGTTCTTGGCCACCTCAGTGAGCCCGTGCTTTCCAGTTCCCCAAAACCAAAACCCTGCTGACTTTTACACCGGACACGTGATGGGAAACCCAGCGCTTAACGGTGCCGCCTGGGCCGTGGAAGGAGCAGCGCGGTGGGCGGCCGTGCGGGTACTCACAGGCCTCGCTGGAGCCGAGGTGCGGGAAGCTGTCACAGCCGGGGTCCGGCGCCTCGATCACCACCTGCAGCTCAGACAGCTCGGGCTCCGCTCGGGCAGCCAGCGGCCTTCGGCCCCACCTCCGCCGCCGGGAATGCCCGAACATGTACTCGTAGTACCTGCCGGGGAAGCACAGGCGCCGCCGGGGCCCTGAGGCGGCTGCTCCCGCCGCTGCAGCCCCCCGGCCCGCGGCCCCGCCGCCGCTCACCTGCGGAAGGCGTCCTGCAGCAGCCCGCAGCCCGGCCGCGCCGAGGAGCCGGCGCCGTGCACCAGCTGGAAGCGGCCGGGCGCCAGCTGCAGCTGGCGGGGGGACGTGCGGAGCCACTGCGGCAGCGGCCACAGCGAGTCCTCAGAGACGGCGTCCGCCGCCAGCTCCCAGTCGGCCGGCGCCGGCCCCGGCCCGGCCTCGGTCCGCGGGGCGCCGTGGCGGA